CTCTCTCTCTCTCTCTCTCTCTCTCTCTCTCTCTCTCTCTCTCTTTGGTTATTGTTGTTACATAATCATCATCATTAATATTAGCAAAATGCAAAAAGAAAACATCAATAAAGACAGTATACGAAACTTACCACCTAATTTCGGTAGCAGTAAATATTATTACAGCCATAGATATGAGAGAAAAGTCATTTGAATAAATTTTTGTTGTTGTTGTTGTTGTTGTTGTTGTTGGATGCCATTTTATTGGATATTAAAAAATACCATAGAAATAACAAAGTATTTTCATTCGATGATGATGATTCATTCGGGCAAATCAACCCCAAAAATGAAAAATAATGTAACAAAAGAAATGAAAAAAAATACATTAAGTTAGTAAGATTTTAAAATTTTTTCATTTTGTTTCCATTTAGTTATTATTTACCAATTTTTCCAGCTGTATTATTATTATTAAGGACACCGAAGGCTATTGTCGGTAATATACAGGCAAAATAAAGAAAAAAAATGGTTGATATTGTTTTTTGGATTGTTTTTCTTCCAACCAAACCTATATATATAATGAATGAAAGGAATGAAAGGAATGAAAGAAACAGAAACGAAACATTGAAAAAACATTATAAACAAACCAGAAAGAAGAAAAATAAAAGAATGTTATTGATTAATATCTGATTATTTCTCAAATATTTTTTTTTCCTTCTTTATTTGCTACATTTCTGTGTGAGCTACTGTAATATTTTTTTGCTACATTTTTTTTACAGATGAAAAAAGGATTTGATCAAATAAAATAATATTCTTTTAATGATGCAACCAAAATAATAATATGTGGGGAAACACACAGAGGGGAAAAAATATGTCCATGTTTCAAATGTTTTTCCCCTAATACAGACGGTGGCCTTTTTTCAAAAAAAAAAAAAAAAAAAAAAAAATTGGAACCAATCGCTGCTGAAAAAAAACCCAATCAAAATGAACATTATGGCCTTTAGCTGAAATTTGTTTTTTCTTTCTTCTTCTTTTTTCATTTCTTTCAATGTTTCTTTCGATATATTTTCTTATTACAAATCATAATCATCATCATCATCATTATTATTTTGGTCGATTTAGTTTTTTTTTCAAAATGTATTAGAACCAATCTGTATATATGGCCTAATATAATTGAACACACAAAATACAAACAAACATAAATCAAATTATTACTGAAGAAATATTATTATTGTTGTTCATTACACACACACATACATATGATGTAATATAGGCTAATGATTTACAATTACAAATAGTCAAATATTGAATGTTTGTAATAAGCCACAAACAAAACAAACAGAACAATTCATATAAATAAAATTGTAACAATGCTAACGACTTTTTTCGATTAATTATTATTATGAATACTTGTTATAATTTGATTTTTCCTGGGTTATCTAATGATTTCTCTCTCTCTCTTTGTTTGTGCGTTTTATTTGATTCTATCACGCAAATTACTGAATGTCATTGTAATAAAATCAGATTTTGATGATCAGAAATTACAAATTGAAAATGTAATAATAATAATAATGATAATAATGATGATGATGATGATGATTACAAAATGATTACAAAATGATAATGATAAAATTGTCTAAAACTATGAACTGTCAACTGAATGATAATCATTTTTTTCGTTTTACATTTACAAATCCTTTTGTTTTTTTTTCTTTCGGTGCAATAATAATGTTCAAGAAGAAAAATTAATTAATTAATTAAAATAATGTTACAAACCATCAACATAATCGCTTAAATAATGTGATGTACGTCGTCTTAGATCATCATATAATCCTTGTGCAAAAAGGCATCTTGGCTCCTGTGTGTTTGAGTGCGAAATTGAAAAGAAAAACAAAAAACAAAAACAAAAAAATTCACATAAGGTTTTGCAACAACAATGAATAATACACTAACCTCAAATTCAGCCTCCGGTTCATGATTACCCATACGACGTGTTGGATTACTTTGTTCTGATGCTAAATCTTGAGCATGTTTGAGCAAAATTCCTTTAAATTCAGCTTCACCATGTACATCTAATAATTTTTGTCGAAAATCCATATCGGCAAATATTGTTGCAAATGTACGTCCAGTTTCTAATGCATTTTTTGTTCCTTTCTATTCAATTTTACATTATTAGAGTTTTATCCCAGAAAAAACCAAACCAAACCAAAGAAAAAAATGAAAAAAAAACAATTTAATAAAATGAAATGTCAACCACATACACACACACCAAACATATAGAGTACACGTTTTTTTGAATTTGGAAATTTTTATAAATAAAGCAAATATTATGAAGAAGAAGAAGAAGAGAAGAGAAGAGAAGAAACGTGAATTCAATTCATAAAAACAATCTATCAATACGCCCCCGAAAAAAAACACTCAAAAACATACACACACACCAAACTTGACTGGAAAATGAATTTCCGATTTTCATTATTTCTTTTTTTTTGTTTTCTGTCCTCCTTTTTTTCCCAAAACCAAACCAATTGAATTTCAATTGGAGAAAAAATTGTCTTTTTAAAATTGAAAAATGAAATAAAATTCCCGCATCACACATATTATTATACCATAAAACCACACACAAACAAACAAACAAACACTTATCATTTCGATATCGATGGTTATTTTTTTCTGTTTTCTGGTTGCTTGGTTATCATCATTTTCAAGGAATGAATTTGAATGAAAATTCAATGAATTCTGCAAACAGACAGACAGAGAAAAGAGAGAGGAAAATTTCAAAACAAAACTTTGAAATTTCGGCTTTTTTTGAGAACGAAAAAATTTCTCATAATTAAAACAAAAACCAAAAAATGAATGAATGAACATAAGAATATCAAGAGCTAATTTAGATATATAATCAAACTTTTCATTATGATGATTTTCATCATCAATTTGAAATGAATAAAAGATGAATTTGATTGAGCCGTTTTCTTCTCTCTCTTGTTTCACATTCAATGAAATGATGGGTCTGTACTACATCATCGATACAAAAGATGTATATTTGTAACAACAACAACAGCAATGGATAATTTTTATAAATATTTTCCTTTGCTTGCTTGTCATCATCATCATGTTGGGTTGTTCTTTGTTTTGGTCATTAAGAAAAATCGAAGAAAAGATTCGATCGACATACATACCCATATACAGAAGACCAGGAAAAAAAAATGATGTAAAGTTGCTCCAGTAAGAAAAGAAAAAAAATGATGATGATCATCATCATCATCATGACAATCGATAGATTTTTTTTTCCTTTTTCTTCTTCTTCTGGGTTCCTGGAACATTATTTATCTATTTTTTTCATTGAAAACAAAAAAACATTTTATTTTGTACATATTTTCTCTTCGTTTTGTTTTGTGTTTTGTATTTCGGCATCATCATCATTCGGTTCTCTATATCTTTCTTTTTTTTTGGGGTGTCCCCGTTCAGTTTTGTTTTGTTTAATTCAAAGAAAAGAAACTAAACAAAACAAAACAAAACGAACATCGACATCGATCCGTTTGAAACTAGGACAATTTTTCATACACACACACTCACACATACATATACAGATTCTTTCCCAAACTATAACTTAACCAGAAACAGAAAACAAAAAACAACAAAATTAGATCAAAATTTCAACATTCTCACTCTCTCTTCCCCTTTCTTTTGGCAATGTGCAATGTAAGAAAGACAAAACAAAACAAAACAAAATATGTGTGTGTACGAAAAGAAAAAGGAATCAAAAAAGAAAAAGTCAGTAAAGGCTGAATGTTTGTTTCGTTTCGTTTCGTTTCGTTTCTTTAATGGTGGTTGCATCTTTTTTTTTCTTCTTTTCATCAATAAAGATGCACAAACAAACAAACAAACAAACACACACACACATCCTATTTGGGCAATCATTATTGGTATAGATTGGTTTAGATTTTTTGTCTTTCGTTTCTCGGTCAATTTGTTTGTTTTTTATTTCATTTTTTATGATCATTTCTTTAAATTTTCGTGTTGTTCGCTCTCTCTCTCTCTCTCTCTCTTAGCACTTTCAATTCACACACAAACACAAACACATCAAACACACTGATTGATTANTTTCATTTTTTATGATCATTTCTTTAAATTTTCGTGTTGTTCGCTCTCTCTCTCTCTCTCTCTCTCTCTCTCTCTTAGCACTTTCAAATCACACACACACACAAACGCAAACACATCAAACAACACACTGATTGATTATTTCAAATCAATTGAATTTTCAACCGAAGCAATTAGGAAACAACCCAAAACCGAACCAAACAAACAAACAAACAAGAAAAAAGATACAATTTTATTTCATTTGGAAACAAAAATCTAACCGAATACACGAATGAATTTCATTACATTCACACTCAAAATACAAACAAACAGCCAGACAAACAAAACCTAGAAACAGCGAAGGAATATTTGATGAACGCTTTTCTTTCTTTCTTTTCACCAATCATGTACACCTTTGTTCCAAGAAAATTCTTTTTTTATTGATTAAAAAAAACATTTCACCATTGTGAAAATGTGAACGATAAAAACGCTGACATTTTGAAAAAAAATGAAATGAAATAAACTGGACCTGATATGATTTTGGAAAAAGGGGGAAAAATGAAGACATTAATAAATAATGTTATCATCGTCGTCATTATTATTACTGATGAAATGAAATAATATTGGAAATTTGATTCGATTTTCTGTTTTGTTTTCGCAAAAAAATGAGACTTGCGGCTATATCATTTTCCAAATATTA